GATTGTACATTTCCCTCAGAGAAAGGGACTCTATTCATGAGAAGGTCACAGCCATAAAATGCCCTAAGTAGCTATGATACACAAATGAAGATAGTTCTCAAAGTGGGAGCTCCAGAAAAGACCGTCAAAGCCTCAGTTAATGATCTTGCAGTAAGTGAAATTGAAGCTTCTGGTCTTAAAAGAGATGGAGCTATTAACAAAATAGGGGAGAGAAACATGGTTTCATTTCATCTTTGTTCCTTGGAAGGCAAGACAAATATGGTCGCAATCAAACCATTTGAGATAAATGAAAAAGGGATGATTGAAAGCACGTTCTTGGAGGCTTCTGAACAGAATTCAGAATTTCAAGCACTGATGAATTTCGGAAGAACAACTACAGCACTTAAAGATGAGATCAACTACCCCCAGCCAGAAGAATCTCAGTTCTGCTTAATGTCTCAACATGAGGATAACAATGAAGAGGAAGGCAGCAACATAAATTTGGGATCCAAGTTTTCAGATGAAAACTCTGATTCTCACTCTGGAACTCTGAATAGAAGTTCAACTCATGAGCTATCTGATTTCTAAAATTCATGGTGCTGAGTTAAACATAGCTACAATAATTATTTTTTTTTTATCCAGTTTGAAATATATTAGTGGAAAGTCTGTGTGACACTTTCTTAATTGAGAGATTTGAATATTTTCTTGGGAGGGGTGGGAAGAACTAATTAAGTTGTTTGATTGGAAAGTATTTAACAGACACATACTACATTTGGGTAAGCCTTTTTGGTAAGGATAGTTTAGCAGCATGAATCAATTCAGTCTTTGTGATTTACACTTTTCTTATCCCATGTGACATTGCCTTCAAATTAATAAATTTGTAACACTCAATCTAGTAATCCCTTCAAATACACTGGATTAAAAGAGGAAAAAAATATCAGTGGCTCACTTGATTCATTCTTTAGTTTGACTGGCTAGTCTCTGAAGATAGATAAATACTTATCAGTGGAATATCTAGATATAAGGATAATACCAAGACCCTGTGCTGTTTCATTTATCATTGCTGCCTGTTGCGCTGAAAATTGGCCATATAAATGAAGAGGTCCATTTACTAGGATTCACATTATTTGGTTGAATGGTAGTTCTAGTCAATGTATAGTGTATGATAGTCATCAAAGAGCTTAAGGTGGAGGAGATAACTTAACCTTTTTAGTCTCATACTGAGAAACTGGGAATATCTTCTTCTGAAGAAGAATCTGAGAAATGTATGAAGTTCCCAGGGCCTGCCAATTTACATCTGAGCCTGTTTTGAAAGAGGTTTCTGAAGAAAGTTGGTGAAAACTCAAGATAAGTGAGGAAAAATCAAACATAATGTGGTTTCACCCATAATTACGAGCAGCAACACTGATTTGTTGGTGGAGGGGAAGGAAAGAGAGATAGGGAGGAAAGAAAGTCTTAAAGATTTCTGAAGGAGCTAAGTCTGTCTCTGCTTTTGGAGAAAATTGCATAACTTCAGGGTTCCAAATACATCCACAGCTTGTTTTTTGTTTTTGTTTGTTTTTGGGTTTATTTGTGTTTGTGTTTTTTGTTTGTTTGGGTTTTGGGGTTTTTTTGCATGTGTGTGGGGAAATGGTGTTTGGTTTTTTGTGGTTTTGGTCGTTTGGTTTGGGTTATTTGGTTATTCAAGCATTGAAACAAAATTACTTTTTCTGTGGAAAGAGTATAACAGAAAAATTTGCACAACGGGAAAAAACAAAAATTCTTTTGTGCTGATTCATGAAAAGATGGTTACAAAATGGCTACAATCTGAATTTATCCTATATTAATCTTAACCAACTGAATGCAGTAATTGTCCCAAAACACCGTTATTAGTCAGTAAGCACAGACTTGTACCTACACAGGGCAAATCACTTGTCAGACTTGTCTATCTCTGCTGATGACTGAGGGTGTTTAGAGAGAGCAAATGGACACTTAAAATTAGATGTTTATTTTATTTTTGATTCATCTTGTATTTTCACTGAATGTTCACTGTCTTTGCTAACTGTCAAAATAGATTCTCATGAAAAACCTGTGACTGGTTCTTCATTGATTTGCTTAAAGTGGCACGTCTGTGTGTGCAGTGTTCATGTGTTTTGTCTCATAACAGGTTCTGAAGAAGGATTAAACCCTGTTTTGATGGCTTTGAAAAGGAGTGCTGATAGGAAAAAGCCTTCCAAAAGTCTAGAGGACATTCCATCAGCTACCTCAAGTGAGCACAAAGCTTGTGTGTGTCTCCCATGACTCCCAGTTTGGCTTAAATGTGTTCATACTGGTCTTCCATACAGCCTTGCTAAGTTGTGGCTTTGGTTTTGTTTCTCAGTAAGCTGTATGGAGTTTGTACTTTGGAACCAGATTATTTTCTCATATGGTTTAATTTTCAGTTCTTGGTGTTAATTTTGGAACAAGGCTGGTCTGTGAAGCAGACATCTTCCAGGAGTGCACTGTGTTGATCAGTGATTAACTGTTTCTTGGATAGTTTTTCAGTTGTGGAAGTATTGGCAATTACCCAAAACAGTAATGAGCAACTACTGTCATTGTCTTCTGGTTGCTAGCTTGGGTTGAATAAGTAGACAATGAAAGCATGAAAACCAGACTTTAGTAATGGTTTAGTAATGATTCACCAGTGTATTCTAGCAGTAAATATATCAACCTCATTTTAAGAGAATATGGCGAGATTAATATTACACTTAAAATGAATTCCTGGCTTCCCTCAGTAGCCTACTTGGATTCCTTGGGTTCCATTAAATTATTATTCCTGTCTCATTTCACCCTGCCCCTGAGTGTTTTCATGCCTCTCATGTCTAATGGGGAAGACACAGACTGAACTTCTATTTGTGAACTGAAGCATGGAGATGTACATTTTTTTAAAGATACTGGCAAGTTGTTCTTCTAATACTGCTGCTGCTTTCTTCTAACCAGTTTTTAGGTTTTAGGTGTGCACTAACATTGTTGCAACAACACACTGATAGAAACTATGTCACCATGAGATTCTTGCTTGGATATAGGCTTTGAGGTAGAATGTCAAGTAAAAACCACTCTTGAATTTAACTGTTCCCATGGCTCTGCTGGTTTGTCTATGGTTTTGGTCCTCATTACTCTTAATTCTGTGATTGTCACTGCCATCCATTTTATACCAAATAACAAAATCTCTAACTGTGTTGTTTTTTCCTGCACAGATAAAGAAAAAATAAATAAACCAAAGGAAGAATTAGTTCTTAGTGATGAAGATGGTAAATATAATTTGTGTCTGCATGGAAGTTTGTTGCTTTTTCAATGGCTTCAATGGTTTGCTAGTGAAGTTTTATTTTTTTTCTAAACCAATAATTATATTGTGTTTTTAGATTTGGTTAACTTCAGCATGGCTGGAAAGCTTTCGTAGAATTCTGTTGTGGTGTTTATTCTTAAGGAATCTATTTATGTCCTCCCGTATCTGTAGAAACTGTGCCACTTATCAGTGTATTCTTTTGGCCTTCCGTCATTCAGCCTGTGAGTTACTGAAATCATTGGGAGCTTTGAACACAAGCTCCTTTGAAAGAAATTGGCCTCAGTAAATATTCAATTTTTCTGTTTATCTGTTGCATTGTAAGATTCAAGATGACTTTTGCTAGTGCAAAAGACCCTTCAGAATACCGCAATTGGAAAGGAACCTCTCTAAATATCCCTGCCTTAGTCCTATAAAGTAGCATTATTCTAGGCAATAGATGAACTTCTAGATCAACTGCTGATATCATCAGTCCATTAGTACATTACAGATGTCTTACAGTTAATTTTCTCAATATACTTTTAGAAATTCCAAATCCAAGAAAAACAAAAAGCAAACCTGCTCCAAGAACGTGTCGAAATAAACAGAATTTAAAAGCATCAAATAATATTGATTATGGTGGAACATAGCACACAATTCTTTATTTACTGTATTGTAGCACTGCAGTTTTAAAAGAACTCTTGTGTGCAATTGCATTTTTTATTTCATGGTTTAGATGCTTTAAAGCCTTGTGCGTGCCAGTGGCCCATGGTATCAATAGGATAGTCATAGTATATTAGGATACCTACAGCACCCAGTAAAGTAACAAGATTAAGCATCATCCTGCACTCTGGTTCCAAGTGGAGACCTCTGCTGAAAGCCTGTTTGACATTCTGTGTGAATGTGTAGAGGCTAACCTGAAAAGTGCAGGGTGAATTTGAATTTTATTTGTTAAGACTGAAGTTATGAAAAAATGACACACAGCCAAATTGATAGCTGTACAGGCAGAATAAGGCAAGTTTTTTTGAAAGGACTGTTCTTTTGGAGCAGTGAAAGGACTGATTTTTTTTAGCTTGTACACTTCTATTATGCTCATATTTTGTTATGATCCAGCTCCTCAAAGGAGAACAGCAGCGCAAGACACAGAAACGGAATCATAGAATTGTTCAGGTTGGAGAAAAGCTTTAGTACCATCAAATCCAACCATTAACTCAGTATGGGCAAGTTCACCACTGAGCCACGTCCCTAGTTCTGAATTTATGTTCGCATAAACAGGGTCCATGATGCACCAAAATCAAACAGATCTAATGCCCATACAGGCCTCATACCTAAACCACTACTAACTGTTGGAAGGAAAAAAAAACCCACAAAGTTCATGGGGTCTGGGGAAGTAAAAAAACCCAAAACCACAAAAAAAACCCCAAAACCACCAAGAAAAACCCCACATATAAAGTATATTGATGCTATTTATAACCTTGCAAAACTGTACTGCTGCATGACTGTTAATACTGCACTGAGCAGGTCTGAAACCTAATCAGCATCAAGAGAGGACTGAAACTGCAGCAGGAAGTGAGTAATAGGATTCTTCCAGCAGATACTGGAGAGACTTTTCCTCTGATAGCTGAACTAGTAAATTAACAATACTCTTTCATTTAACAACTAACAAGTTATACATCTGGAGTAGCTACTTGCTCTAAGTACTGCATCTAATTGCATACTGACAGTAACTGATCTGTTGAGCACTAGCTGAGTTTTGACATCAATAGCTTTGCAAAAGTTTCACTGACCTTGCAGACAATCCCATTGTCTGCAGTGTTTCATTTTCTGCAATAAATACATGCTCCTGTAGCTGGCTGGTTATTGATCATTTTCTGTCACATGATATTGATGCATCTCACAATGTGTATGCAGTTCATCTTTGTGTATTAAATATAAGTGGGGTTAGAGCATGAAAAATTCTGAGGATCATGAGCTTACTGCAAACTTTATTTTTGCAAACCTAGCTTGTACAGTTAGGTTTTGTACAGTGAAAGACCATAGAAGTAATCTGCAGTAGAGGTATGCAAGTATGGAAGAGACAGAGTGCAAAAAAGTGCATCATTAATAAGATACGGATCTCATAATTAAGTAGGAATACTTGCAACTTCCTTGGTCAGGTCTAGATTTGCTTGATTTACACAAATTTGCCTATTGCAGTTAAATAGACTGAGTAAATAGACCAGAATTTGGCTTGTATGCTGACTTCTTACTAAGAATATTATGATAATTTGAATGTCAATGTTGTTACTGTTAGTGCAGAAGTGTGCTTATTCTTGTTCTAGGAAGAAAATATAGAAGGTAATTTCAATGTTTTCTTTATCACTTTTGATCAGAATTTGCTAGTAGCACCCAGGCTGCCTCATATCAAGCAATATTTCTGGTCCTGTTGAAGTTTGTTGATCATTGTTATAGGCAATGCCAAAGTAGATTATTCTTCCTAATGACAGCTTCTCTGAGTCCTATGGGAGAAAAAAAAACCCCTTGCATCCAAGCTGGTTGTGCATGTGCGTGCATTTCATCCAAAGTGGTTTGCTTCTAACTGCATCCTGTTATGGAATCTCACTGTTCTGATGTACAAACATGTTTTTGAAGCCTTTTGAATTACTGCTTTGCAGTTTCCACAGTGACTTCACAGCCTGCTAAACTCTTTTCCAACCCCGAAAAACTCAAAGGACTGAGCAAGTCAGTACCATCATTCTTACAGGAAGAGGTAAGCACCATCTCTGAAATGTTATAGTTTCAGGTACCTGACCACTAATTCTGTGCAAGTTTCAGAACTCCCAACGACATGCCATGCTTGATTATTGTTGTTATCGTCATCATGGTGTGAACCTTGGAATAAGCTCAGAGGCCATATTCAAATCTCCTAAAATGACATTGAAGCTTGAAAGTGGTAAGCAATTTGAACTGTTAGGCCTATGGCATCTATGGTTCTCTATCAGAAGAATCACAGAATTTTTGGTTTGGAAGGGACCTTAGAGACCATCCAGTTCCAGTCCCCCTGCTAAGGAACATCTTTCACCAGACCAGGTTGCTCAGGGCCCCATCCAACCTGGCCTTGAACACTTCCAGGGGTGGGGTCAGCCACAGCTTCTCTGGGCAACCTGTGACTGCTGTGACCACCCTTACAGTGAAAAATTTCTTCCTAATCTAAATTTAAACATATTATCAGTTAGTTTAAAGCCAATTCCCCCTTATCTAATTACTATATATCCTTCTCCTCTAGGAGGACATAGAATTTTTCTGTCTTTCAAAGAGTCCATGTAACCAGACTGATTATCCACACTGCTTAAATGTTACTTCACTCTGGATTTATTCTGTGCAGTCCTAAATAGCACTCCCCAAAGCAATTTTCTCTCAAGAGGCTTTGCCCTAGATAGGCTGGACATTTTTCAGTCCTTATCATTGACCTCTGAAACAGAGGAACAATCCTGGTCTTCCTTTACTCAACAAAATAGACATAACCAGATTTTATAAGCAAAATGAAAAAGTCTTTATATGCTAAATGTTTATTTATATAAATAACTATTTTCTTGATGTGTGTAGAAATTTTACTAATCTTGTATCTGTTATTAGAAGATCTATGACACCAGTTCAAAACTGTTTGAAAGAGTGGGGAGACCTTCTAAATTGTTCCTGGGGGGAATACAACAGGAAGATGAAGTTGTCTGTAACAGCTTGTATAGGAAGGCACATGTGGGAAGGGGATAAATTCTTTAGTGCAGAGATAGCATTGAGATGGAATGGGGTTGTGAGTACATAACCTTGAAAATGACCAAGGAAACAAAAGCTGCAATTTCCTCATGGAAAAGCAAAGCCCTGCCTGTCCTCTTGCAAGAAAGACTTTGCAAAAACCATTCATGGTATCCAGTGCTGTTCTCTGAATGTTACCTTCTGGCCAGGTGCCCTTAAGAGAGAGGCAGAGAACTGACAGAATTTACTGTATAACAGAAAGGACTGTAAAAGGACTGAGCATTATCAATTGCATAGGTTATGCATGAGGCAGTGACACAGAGAAGTTGAGTTTAATTGTCCCAATAAACTTAACTTCGCAATTTTTCATTGCTACTTGAGATTTAAAACAGACAAACAAACAAAGCCCCAAATCTGGTTGCATCGCTGCTTTAAAAAATTATCAGTGTAGGCTGTTAATCAGAAGAACTCTCAACTTTAAATGCATGACCTAATTCAAGAAATATTATTCATGTTGCACTACAAGGGAAATTAAATTCAGACTTCCACTGAGTCTCAATATGCATTAAAATTCTGTTTGTTTGGTTTTGGTTTTTTTTAAATTTTCCTTGTGATTGTAAAGAACGTACACAGACTTTCTTTCTGTGATGTTTTTGTAGAGTGATGACAGAGAGACAGATACAGCATCAGAAAGCAGTTATTCCTTTGGCAGAATCAAGAAGAGTCCCAGCTCTCTAACCAATCTTAGCAGCTCTTCTGGCATGGCCTCCTTATCCTCTGTATGTAAACCAAAGCATTATTTTAATGGCACTTTGCTTTTGCTAATTTCTCCAATATTGTTTTGGCTCTTATCTCATTCATCTTATCTTTCTTCCCTTGTCATCTGTCTCCTTCTTTCCACTTCTGTTATATGAACATAACATAATGCCTTGCATGGAATTGCCTGAAGCAAGTAAAGTACAATTAAATAGATTTTTTTTTTTCTTGTAATATATTGGAGCTTGTTCAGGGCTCTGAACAAAGATATGGATTTTACCTTTAGAGCTTACACTTGTAGCTGAAAATGAGGAACAATTAATATAGGACAAACATTTAGAAAGGGAGAAAGGGGAGAGAGATAAGTGAAAGCAGGAGATATTGATATATCAGGTGTGTAGTTGAGTCAACTCACTACATAGATAACCAAAAGTCATTGGTTTATATGGACTTCGAGTAAGAAAAACAGAATTCTGGGGAAGGATGTTGGGATAAAATACATATATGTATGGACACATCTTTCTTCTCTCTATTTAGTATTTAATTTTCAGTGTTTTATTTAGTTACATATTTAGGTACATAATTCAGCCATATAGACTTTATTAATCTTCTTGTTAGTATTTTAAGAAAGTCTGTTTTCCTAAACTCTTAGGCTTGTTTTCTGCTAGAAGATCAGCTGAGAAGATTTAGAAGTAATATGTCAAGGACCTGAGCAGTTAGTCTTCAGATCTACAGCATCCTATAATTTAATTTCTTCTATCTTAATGCAGTAAACCCATTCAATTTTTTTTTTATTCTTTTTTTTGTAAGAATCCTGGTCTAACCCTTTTGATTTCCAAATATCTTTCCTTCATTAATCTGCTTGCTGAGAAGCTTGTATAACAGTGTCCATTACGTTTTGTTGTTACATCTAAAGAGATGCAGTTGATTTCTTTACTGTCTGAATCCTGAGCACAACTTCTATCCTGATCCTGAAATATCTGGTGAAATTCAATGTCTGGAAAATATTTCTCCTCTTGTACGATGCAGGTGAGCGGCAGCCTAATGAGCATCTATAGTGCAGACTTTGGCAATGTTGATGTGAAGGGGAACATTCAGTTTGCCATTGATTATGTGGAACAGCTGAATGAGCTCCACATCTTTATTTGCCAGTGTAAAGAGCTGGCAGTAGCAGATGTTAAGCGACAGCGTTCAGACCCGTAAGTACAAAGAATGCATTTCTTTTCTAATGGAAGTCTTTATTTTAATGTGGAAATGAAAATTTCTGGGGTTTTCCAGTCTCTCTAACCTCCTGGAGTAAACCACCAAAGAAATAGATGAAGAGGCTATAATGTGCTTTGTGGGGTTTTTAAACTCTGATTTAATATAGAACAACCCTTATAAATTGGTGTGTATATATGTTAACACAGAAAATGAACACTTCAAAGAATATTAAATGACCTTTTAAAATGCCATTTTTCAGATGGTAAATTCCACTTTGATATGTTTTCAGTAGGATTAACACCTATAAATATGACATTTGGGCCTGCTACAGGTATATATTCTTTATTTTCATGTTCTGAGGAGATATTTCACCAGATTTTCCCCTGGAGAAGGATATTATAAGAAAGTTATGACATACATCACCACTGCTGTTTTAATTCTTAAAAATACAAGCTGAATAACATAATGTCTACTCAAGTGGATTTATTTTACTTTGTAAGCAAATACTTGTGTATTTTGTAAGGTAAAGTTGGAGAAGGTCTGGATTTTTTAGGTTTTTGGGATTTTCTTAACCCTTCTAACAACCCTGTCTCAATTTTAGGTATGTAAAAACCTACCTGCTTCCAGAGAAATACAGACTGGGCAAACGGAAGACTTCTGTCAAAAAGAAAACTTTTAATCCAGTCTATAATGAAATACTGCGGGTATTTATCAAACTATTACTAGACATAATGTACTGTATGTGTGATGTGTGTGGAATCTCAGCTTTTGGGCACAGGTCTAGATTACACTCAAAAGGGACATTAGCATGGGAGGGATTGCCCTGCAGAACTGGTTGTGTGTTTCCATTGATAGGTCAGCTCTGAAGTGATCTCTGGATCCAGCATTGAGAACACTGGTGGCTCTATGCTTTTATGTGTAAACAAACATGACCCACGTATGAGCTTAAGGTGATAGAAATAAAAAGTAAATAGTTGTGTTTTGTTGTGGTTTGTATGCTTTCTGAAATGCAGAAGTGAGCAGTTATGGATAATATAAACCCGGACACTTTTTTCTAACCATATCACTTTCTGATTCAGCACTGGTAAAAATTCAACTTAATTTCTTATTTTCTTACTTCTTCCTGGCAGTATAAAATTGAGAAGGAGCTCCTAAAGAATCAAAGCCTCAATATCTCTGTCTGGCACAATGATACCTTTGGGAGGAATAGCTTCCTTGGTGAAGTGGAGCTGGATTTAGGAACTTGGGACTGGAATGATCCATCCAATAAGCAGATAAACTGGTTTTCTCTCAAGCCAAGGGTAGGTTGGCTGTTTTGCATTTTCTGCTGTGTAAGTGCAAAACCAAATCATTATTTAAGCTTGGTCTTGTGTGTTCTGTGGGGTTTGTGCTGATTATAGTCATAAATACTTATACATAGCAATACAGTTCTGAGATGTCTTTTAGTCTAGCTAGCTATTACAGTACAAAAAACTTTCTCACAATCTAAGAAGTAGGAATTTCAAAGTTTTTGTCATATGACAATGAAATCTGTCAGTGCAACAGAAATCTGAAGGCGCCTGTTAACCAAATATGGAGTAAACCTTCTGAAGATATGGAGCAAGTGCAGCACCATTTTAATATCAGATGTTTGTTTTATTTTTCATTTCAGACTTCAGCAGTAACTCTTAATCTAGAAAACAGAGGGGAGATGAAACTAGCCCTCCAGTATGTCCCACATCCAATTGGAGGTAAGCATTACTGCTTTGCTTGGATTTGTCAAGCCTTTGGGAGTTTTGTCCTTTTTTTTTAATTAAAAAAAAAAAGACCCTTGTTTAATGTTTGTCATTCACTTCAGACAGCTTCTTTCAACATAAAAGTTTTCTGTTTTCTTCCTTAGAGGATTAAGTCACTCTGATTGTGAATACAGTTAAGGACCCCAAAGACTGTTTTGAGATCTTTTGTTGTTTTTAATGTCACTGATGAAGAAATTACCTCATTGTCATAATCTAAAATCTGTAATGCAATATATACATGTAACAAAATTCTGTTTTCTGTATAATTTTAGAGATTATAAATCATCAGGCAGATGCTGTGATGTGTTAAACAATGATAACACACTGAATTTCAAGCAATACTAGATGTAGAAGTAGCAGCAGATATTTAGAAAGCAGAAATTTATAGCAGTCTGATCAGTTTGGTTTAATCTTGTCTGGCAACAGATAGTGGACAAATCTGAGAGTGAAGTCAGGTCAGGTCTTTAATCCAGACAGACAGTCAGTCAGTAAGAATCAAATATATTAAGAGCATAAAAGAGCTTATTTGAAAATACAACTATAAATGCTAACATCACATAGGCTAATGACAAGCTGATCTGTTTGTTTATCTAGAGTCTTGGGAAGAGAAGACCAGTGGCATGCGTCTGCTTAGTTATATCAGAAGAAAAGTCATTGTAGGAATGCAGACATGATGTGATCTTGTAGTACTTTGATGGGATGAAGATTTCAACTTTCAGAGTACAGAGAGCAATGTTGAATTAAGATGTGAGATAAGTCCAGGCTGAATATCACCTCGACAAATGGGCAAGAACTGCTGTGTAAGACAAAATATATTTAAAAGGCATCTCCTTAAGCAGATATTTTCTTTTATTTTTACAGGAAAGAAGACTCTATCTACTGGTGAGGTCCACATCTGGGTGAAGGAATGCCATAACCTCCCTCTTCTGAGAGGCAATAGGCTCAACTCTTTCATTAAATGGTAAGAATTGTGGTTGAAGTCATCAAACGTGATGGCCTAATAATGCTACCATTGTGCTTTCTAATTGTATCTTCTTTTTCTACATTCATATGAAAAGAACACTGAATTTCTTTCTGATTCTTCTTTAATGTAGTGCAAATTGTCCTGCATAGTTTACAACTTCCAGATACTAAGTATGCACCACCAACTAAAACTTACAGGGAGAGCTTTCTGTGTCATTATTACACTTCGGTTTTGTCTCTCAGTCACTTGCTGGAAGGACTAGTCAAACTGTTCTGGCTTTTATTCACGTTTAAGCAAAGCACGGTTGTGGAAAAACATGGTTTAGCTTAGCAAATTTGGGGAGGAGACAAGCGTGAAATAGTGTAATAGTGTGAATACATAGTTGCATTTCTTCCCCCTTCCTTTCTGCCTACGGACTAAAGATGTGAAGAGACAAGAATAACAAGGTGGTTGGGGAAATCTCAGGCAGCAAAAAATGTTTCAGTATCATCAGTGATAACACAGCAAATAAACTCACTTATGCCTCTTCCCCACCTGACTTGCCCTTACATCCTGTGAAGCACAAGGGTGGATACCTGCTGCCAGTATTTCCTGTAAGGGGCTGAGAATATGACCCTTCACTCCTTCTCTGTAAAGCACCTTATCTTCAGTTCTACTTTAACATGCAAAACACAGTTAATCAGCAGCTTTTGCCTTTTTAGTATGTTTAATGCAGGCTGTGCTGTACAAGTGCAAACTGACAGTGCTTTTTCTCTCTGAAGTACCATTCTTCCAGACACCAGCAGAAAAAGTCGCCAGAAAACAAGGACAGTTGCAAAAACTACAAACCCGGTATTCAACCACACCATGGTCTATGATGGCTTTAGACCAGAAGATTTAAAAGAAGCCTGCATAGAACTCACAGTCTGGGATCACAACAAACTAGCAAACCATTTTCTGGGGGGCCTCCGGATAGGCCTTGGAACAGGTACTGGACAGTCACCACATTTATACTTAATTTACAAAGCAGTCTTGCCTTTTTTTTTTTTTTCCCCTTTTTTCATTTCTTTTCTTTCAGTCTTTCTTTTCTTTTGAACAAGTTCATTCAGAAACATACCTATTCTTCAGAACAGATCCTGAAATGTAAATAATAGTAGTGTCAGGAGGGTTAGGATGACTGACAAGGAGTAGTATTGGAAAGAAACCTATGTGTGGCCATACATTGTATCTGGTACTGTTTAAAGTACAAGAATATGCTATTCCTGCGCCTGAAAAGTGATAATGTTTTGCAAACTTACTCATGCAAAAAAATAGTGTAAAGACAGCAGTGGGTGGAAATGAAAGGATAGATCAGGAATGCAGGATAAGATTGGAAGATACTGAATAGGAAAATTATAAATGCAAACAAGTTATTAGCATAAGGGTGATAAAAGATGTGCAGATATAACAACAGGAAAAGCATACAATTCTTCTATTTGTCCCTTCTATTCTGCCCTCTGATCTGAGGGGAGAATGTATTTGGAGCCTTCTCAAGAAATGCAATGTACAAACTACTTTTCACAAAATAATTTCTTGCATGGTTCACCATAGTAACCTAAATTACAAATTAAAATACTAAATCTTAATTTGAATTTTGGAGTACCCAAGGTTGAATTTCAGTACAAAATTAGTACCCTGTTTTATTGTTAAACTTTCTCAGATGAATGGGCAATTGGCATCTTTTTCCTTGGGATTGTGACAAAAAGACCAGGGATAAAAAAAAACACAAACTCTGGACCAAGATGGCAAAATTTGTGTGAAATTGTTGTAAATTGTATTTGACAAAATTTCTCAAGAGTAAAAATATAGAACTGAATCTCCAAAGCATTAGGTCAACTTTCTGAGGAGGTGTAACCATTTTAGAGCAGGCAAATTTGATTGTTTGCACTTAATTCTGCAGCACATTAATTTTTCTTTTAAAATTGACATTTTTCTAGGCAAAAGCTATGGAACTACAGTAGATTGGATGGATTCTACATCAGATGAAACTGCCCTTTGGGAGAAGATGATGAACTCTCCGAACACCTGGATAGAAGATACACTACCTCTCAGGATGCTTATGGTTGCAAAATTGACAAAATAAGGTGGATTTTTATTTGTTAGTGTCAAAAAGAAACCTTGGGAATGAAATTAAAAGCATGGGGGTGGAACTTTAGAAGAGGAACACAGTAGCTTTTTTGTCAGTTTCTGCTCTGTTACTGTTCTGGTTTTGTGCTGTCAGATGTCACTTTGTATTTCAAATTGAACATCTGCTTGCAGATCATTATGTAAATTGTAGGGATTTTAAAATTATTCATGGAAAGCAACTTCAAGAAAGAAGGTGTTTACAGAACTCAGTGTCAGAGGTAGCTGTGATATCTGGATGACTGTGTTGTCTAACTGAAGCATTGCTGATCCCTTAAAAATCCAAATAACCAGCAGAAATATAAGAGCAAGTCAACTGTTTTTGTACATTGCTAGGATTTTTCATGAAGTCTTACTGATAAAACAGCAACATTAGTGTTAAAGCTCATTGGTATGTGTTTGTATCTTCATTATGCTGTGTCAGATCTCTCCAGCATGAAATATGGTTGTGAAGAACTCAGTTTTTGCAAGTTCCTCTAGTTGTAATTGTACATTTCTAGGACATGAAAGTTACTCCCCCAATGAAAGAAGCGTGGCATGAAATGGTACTGTCAATGTCCTATTCTACAAGGTGCAGAGGACTTTCTTCCAATGTACTGTAAAAAATCAGGGTTATAAAAAATTTGCTTATACATGTGTTAATCATCTTGCTAGCATACAATACTTAAGTGCTGAAGATGTAAAGGTGAAACTATTTTTATTCCAGTGCTACTCAAAAGGATCTAAATGTGCCAGTTTTAGTGATGACAAAAATGTTGGGTATTTATTCTCCAAAGTGCACTTGTTTGTACCTGTATCCATTAGCTTGTTTTGGTTTTTATTTTTGCAAAAAGTGAACTTACCTGTGCTTCAGCGCCACCGTTAGGAGACTGGTAGGACTGTGGTGGGCTTTGCTTAGTTTTGAGGCATAGGAAATAAGACTGCAGTTTGTAACTTGTAGAAATGCTAGTAGATAAATTCATAAAGTACAAAATATATTCATTTTGTTTTCTTTTTTTTTAAATAAATTCAGCCTATTTAAATGAAATAGGAATTCAGTTTTATTACATGCCAGTGGTTTATGTTAGCCATTCAGCATGCAATGTAACAAAATGCAGACAGAAAACATTTTTGAAAATAAATGCACAGTTTTTTACTCCAGCTAAGTCTAAAATCTGGTGAAATCTTTTACTTCAGTTAGAGCAGAGGGGAGAAGGGAGCTCTTCACAACTCCAAAACAATTGCTTGATTTAATCATACAAATTTAAATGCTACTTGGTATTTATTATACACTGTGAATGGAAAAAAGGAAAGATGCTATTCAACCTACCAGGGAATCCACTTTCCTCTTGTCAACCAAGCAGTCTGTGGAGTTTACAAATGTCAAAAGCAGTTTGCCAGTCTTTGATATCTTCCTGCTTCAGGTGTTTTGGATGAGATTAGTAGCTGCTGCAGCTTCCACTCTGCCAGATATATAAAAAACACTTTTTGACTAGGGAACATGTGCACATGACACTTCAGAACAATGTATTCTTACCAACATGGTACAGTTGCTGCTTTGATTCTCCATTCTTGAAGAGCCACTCTTGAAATTATGGTGATTCTGAAAAAGAATAGGCACCTAATTTATTTGTATTCACTCCTTATGTGAACTAATTTTTCATCTGAAAACAGAGGTTGCTGTGAACATGACCTTCAGTTTCTCAGGATTAATGTTTTTATTGCAGTTGTATCTCCTGTGAAGCTCAAATATACTGCTAAGTCAAAACAGCTTTGGGTTCTGTTGTAGGGATAGGCAAGTATCATGTAATGTGCCATGGTCTATACTCTACAAAATTTTAATACTTGAACTTCATTGCTATCGAAATAAAATGTTTTGTTTGCGACAGTGGCAATCTCTTTGTCTTCTGATCAAGTAGAAGAAATTCTGTGTCTTGCTGGTTTTTTAGCCCTCCTAGAAACTGACACAATTTTCTGGTCTCCCAAAAGACTCTGCATACCACTGCATACCACCACTCCCAAAAGACTCTGCATACCACTTTTCAAATTTTGAAAAGCTACCTGAACATGAATGCAAGATTTACTTGCACACTGCACTTGTAATTATCTAGTTTGATTAGCTAATGACACAGAAGTACTATGTACTCATCTAGGTTAATCACGAAACTGAGCCAAGTAACATAAACTGTCCCATAAGTACAAAAATTCCTCCCCAGTTTTTAATACCTCTTTTTTTCATCATATACAGAATTCCTTACTTCAGTAGTATGATAATATGCTGATAGAGAAATGAGAGTTGGGAAGTTAAGACAAAAAGTTTCAAGAAACTTGTTACTTTGCTCTCAAGTCAAAGGAAAAGCCTTTAGTCATCCATAACCAAAATTTTAAAGGCGCATAATTAGCTATCATTAAAGGGCAGTTTGATAAATTAATAGCTATGCTGTGTCATAAAGGTGAACTGGAATTAAGAATCAAAGCAGCCACACTCCTATAATATCTTTATGTATATTCATTCTTGTCTGGAGAGACACAACAGTTCCTTCCTCTCTTCTCCTTCATGTTACAAGTTCATCTTTATTTTAGCTCATAATTTATTTTTTTTTTTAGTACCCGTGTGTGTATATGCATATATACATATGTGTATATCTTCTAAATTACACGGTTTTCACTTGCTATAAACCAGGCTTCCAAGTCCTAGGTCTTCTTTTGTGCTCTGTGTTCAGAAACCTCCCAGCTCTGCAAGTAAAGGCTGCAAGCCTGAGCTGATGCAGCAACTCCCATGCTTTTGGTTTTACTCATTTTGAAATGCATACTGTGCCTTCCTTCTCTTGTTTGCTTCATGTCTGTTACCCACAGCACTCTCTTCTTTCTCCTTTGTATCCTTTTCCAGAGAATTCAGCAAAACCTGCACTGACTTCTTTCTTGCAGTTGCATTTATTTTTCCCTTCTCTATCCTATCTGCCAGATTTTTATTAGCTGCTGAATAAAGTTGCAAATTGTTCAGGGGAAGGTCTGTCTTTATTTTCTATGGACCTTGAGTGTGGTCTGAGGTCAGAGCCTGCTATTCGGATCTCCTCTGGCATGTGCAGGGCATAAGCTGAGAACGAGGAGTTGTTCAAGCTTGGAAATTCTCTTTCCTTTTCTAAATCTGTGTGCTTTTGAGAGTGTCAGCAATGTTTGTTTGCTAAGAAACTGCCAGAGAGCTGCCAGCTCTTTCAGCCACCCTGGTGGGCTGGCCTGGCTCCAAGCAGCCTGGATGAGGTCATGAGCTCTGGAGTGACTGGATTCAGCATCTTACCTCTATGGTAACACAACCTCACAATAGGAGAGAAAACAAACAGACAGGAGAAAGAAAATACCTGGAAAAACTGGTAAGAAAATAGTTTTCTCTTCTTAAACCTTGCTCTTCATTGTATTTCCACTGGATGGCCTAAACCTTTCCATCCTTCCCTCCCTCCTCCGTTATTTGCAAAGCATCCAAGGTAGCAACAGCAACAGCAGTCAGAGAGTGCAGGATGGTGGAGGCAGAGCTGTGTCTGTACTAATAGCAATTACTAGTAGCAGTTGCTACTACACAGCTCTGAAATTCTTTGTGCTTCACAGGCATTTATTTATTTTTGTTGTACATTATCTTTCATCCTTGCTTTAAGCTTCCTTCCCACATCCAGTCTTTACCTCTAGTCAAAGCTCGGAATTCACAAAACCTGATTATCAGCACGCTGTTTCAGGTCTGCATCCACATGAAAAACTTGTAGATGAATTTTAGGCTAATTTTTCAAATGTTTAGGTAGCATGCTGTGTGATTCAGCACCAATAACCTTTTTGGTGCATATGTAATATCAATATTTTCCTTATTTGAAGAAGAAGAACCAAATTTTTATGATTACATGCTTAAAATAATCCAGTAGATCAGTGTGCAAACTCAGATGAGGAGCTGTTTCTCCAGGAACAGAGGCTTTGTATCACAAAACATTCACTAATTATTAACATTGTATAGATCTTTTATTTGATTCATAAATCTCTAAGCATGGGGTAAGGCTATTCAGTTATTTTTAACAAGCAATGTACTATCATAGAAATCTTTTGAATCTATTAGAAGTTTGACGTAACCCTCCGTGTTTTATTTGCAGTTACAATACAGAGCTGTAGGAGAAAATAAAGGCAGAGGGAAAAGATTGCGTAAGGAATTATTTACAGCTTTATCACTTACAAGCTTTTTACCTAAATATAATAGCAGTTCTTGTAGCTACAAGGGCAGTGCCTCAAGAAGGAATAATTAGTGAAGCTAGTCATCAGCAAATGAATAGGCTTGCATAAATACTAAATCCACATTCTTTGCTTTTGCTCTTGGAGTCTGGCAACCTTGAGTCTCAGTGTGCCTGACTGAACCAGAGGAGGGGGAGGCCCAGCTTGCTGGGCCAGTGGTTGCTGGCTGACATTGGTTTTGGGAGGTCCTGTTCCCCCACATCACTTTTTCTTGACTTCCAGAGAAACACCACCAACTTAGAGCAGCAGTGTTGGCCACACGACCACTGGGCACTGTTTTATCATCCCAAGTGTCACTGACAGAAGCACCCATTGTAAAATTTTACCTTGTCTTTGCATGAGACAGGGGCACCATGGCTTAGGAGACAGGAGTGGGGATGGCTGACTTCACAGGTGATCCAGAGACAGTCAAAGACATGGAAGATCTGACAAAAGGGTTGGAGGAGCTCTGTGAGAGCTCTAAGGAGTGGAGAGAGGAGGCACCGCTGCTTTCATACTTAGAACAGCATAATCATCTTGTCTCTATACTGAAGAAGAAAGTGGATGACACACATGAACGCTGCAGAGACCTGGAGCAGCTCAACATGGAGCTGAAGAAACTGAGGGCAGAGGATGCTGTGAAAGTTAAAACCCAGACCCAGGGTATTCAGTACTTGGAGGGGCGCTTCATAGGTCTGGTCAAAAACCATTGAATAATGATCCAGTTCAAAAACTAACACAAAAAACGGCACATGCAGCTGTGGGAGGAGAACAAGCACCTGCGGCAGGACAGGGAAGCACTCTTCAGGCAGGCTGTGAGGGAGAAGGAAGCTGAAGTACTCCGGCTGGCAGCCCAGGCCAAGAAGCTCTCACTGCAGTTATGCTCCTTGCAGGAGAAATGTGCTTATGAGAGTCACAGAGCCCGGGAGCGAGAGAAGGAGTTGCTGGAAGCTCAGAGCCAGCAAGCAGATGCCTATGCCTGGGAGGTGGATTCACCGAAGAAGCAGCTGCAGCTCCTACAGGAGAGGCACCAACAAGCTGCTGCAAGGGCTGAGCAGGCAGAGTCAGCAGAGGGCTCAGGGCAGTGAACTGCAAGCCAAGCTGGAAAGGGCACATGAAGAGAAAGAGCAGCTACGGAACCTGGCCATGGAAAGGAGCAAAGCTCTGCAAGATAAGGGAGATTCAGAAGCTGGAGAAGCTAGAGACCGTGGAAGAAGTCTTGCAGAGGGCAGGAAGGTGCCTCGAGAAAGAGGCAGCAGCAGCAGACAAAGATCTGAAGGTTCAAGAGCTCCTAGGACAGCTAGAACACAGCAAGCAGCTGTCCAATGAACTCTTGTTGTGGCTCAACGCTTACAGAAAGCACAGTATGGATTTGCTGACTAAAGAGAGAGCTGTGAATGTCAAACTCCGTCACTTTGTTGCATAACTGCAATTTTTTCTCTGTTCTCAACAGGTGTCTCTATGGTAACACACCCCCCTGAATTTTGTTTCTCTCCATGGGACCATCCTCTGATATCTTTATAGTGTCCTCACCAGCTTAAACCCTCCTCCACTGACAGTTCTGTAACCTTTTTGTCATTACACTTTTATGAATGTAAGTTGCTACACTCTTAAATCTGAACATGGATCATTGAACCAGTCAACCATGTGACATGAATGATTAGGGTGGAAAACATAAATTTTAATTTGATTTATTTAGTGCTAATCTCTGTTGAATTATAGTTTTTTTATTGTTAAATCGCTTTATTTTTCATGATGACTGAAAGCTCGGTCTCTTAGCCTTTTGTATTTGATTCTGCTTTGAAGTTCAACACAGGCTGGGCACATAGAGACTCTGAGGCCTCAAGAAAGTAATGCTACCTTGCAATATCTCTGAAATTCAGGGATATAACAGATAATCTAATAATATCATAAAACAACTGATTCTCAAGCAAATTGCTGTTTATAGTTTTCTAGTAGTCTGACAGATTTCTGCAGTCATTTAAACCCTATTTAATGCCAGAATAGTATTTATATCCCCATTCAGCTCAGAATAAATTGTCAAGTCTTTTGGATGATTTCAGTCTGTTCTTTGGAATATGATGATGTTCTAGATGTTCACTAGGGATTTTTTTCCTGTTTTTAGCTGTTTTCTGCAGATAAATATTAGTGATACACTCTTCCATTTTTTGCATGTCTGGCAGTTTTTGACAAAAAGAAAAATCTTTCCTCTCAGCACTGTTGGGATACAGAGACCTCCCACTCTCTCTTGCTTGTCTCCTAGGCAAGAAGGAAGTTTTTTGCTGCTGAGATTAAGCTCAGCAAATCTCTTTAAATCTCCAACAAAAAAAAAAAAGACAAAACCCAAAACAACCCAAAAAACCAAAACAACCACCATGACAGGTCAAACAGCATTCCCCACCTGGGCTGTAGGCAGCTGCCTTCAGAGTACCTCAAGTTCTTTGCCACATGATTATGCCTTGTGATAACTTAAGAATTTAGATAATGGATTGAGTATTTCTTGGTCCTGAGTATCTGTAAGCCACATGACAGTATCAGACTTGGTATCTATTGCAGTCATTTACAGAAATGACCAGAAGCAGCAGGTCAGGAGGCCAGTGACCAGTTCATCTCAAAGACTGGCTGAAGGTGGTTTCTGGCACAGGTTTCCCAGAAGAGCTGTGGATAACCCCATCCGTGGAAGTGTTCAATGTGAGGTTCGTGGGGCTCTGAGCAACCTGATCTAGCTGAAGGCAGCAGGGTTTGGAACTAGGTAATTTTTAGGGTCCCTTTTTAACCAAATCATTCTCTGCTTCTGACTCTACGTTCTAAGCTGCTATCAGCCTTTCTTCTGGATTTCTCTGGACTGTCCTTGAACCCACACAAAGCCAGATGTGAAGTATTGCTCTACTGTCTGCTGTGCGACAAACCACAGCGTATCTGATCCTGGCTCCTACAAGTGTCATTCAACATGAGTCTTGTGGACCACATTCTCCTACTTTTTAACCATACTTCCCTGCTCCGAGGTGCCCACCCCCCATACACATTTAGTTAATCTCAGTTCTGGCAGCTACAGTGTAAATGCTAGCTGACTCAAGTTACACACTATGCCCTTGGTAGTGTGGCTGGCTGCTCTGTTTAAATTAGTCCATAGGCAACGAGGGGCACCTGCATACCTCTGGTCACTGCAAGAGACCCTGAAACCAGGTGGCTAAATGCTCTAAAGCTGGGCAGAGTAAACCTCTGGCAGCACGACAGAACAGCCCCACAGGCTTCTGGCCCAGCCCCAGCCATGGAGTGTGGTGGGAAAGCCCCCACATTCTGCACTCCCCAGGGACGTCCTCCTTCCCACCCTTTGGCAATGTCTACGTGTGAGAGAGCTTCCCCCGACTCCCTCCCCCACAAACCCCTTGTCATTGCCCCCATTCCCTCCTTCACCCCCCTGTCACTCCCTCCTGTACACCCACATTTCCTACACACCTCTCATCCCCCCAACTACACATGCCTCCCCTCACTCCCCCAGCCTCCCACACCTGTCACCCTGCTGCCCACAAAAATCGGATTTGTTACCTGGTGTGCAACAAGCCAATAATTACACATGCGAGACATTAATTTATTTCAGAGTTGCACAGGCCTGGGTCCTCAGCGGTATTCCACAAATCAAACACACCACCTATCAAAATTTTTTCTATTTATACGTTTTAGCAAATAAGGGAATAGGTGTTACAAGCTATAAGTTACCTAGTTCTCGTATTAATTAGTATTCTATCAGTTGATGATTCTCTCTTGCTAATTACTTTGCATGGTCAATCTTTTTCTTTTTTTGGGGTCGGTGGTCCGAAGTTAGTGGTTGAGATCTTCCCGTGTTGAAATTGTTTTACCCAGTCGGAGCTGAATTAGTGCAGTTGTCAAGTTGGGTTTATTAATTTATTATTTATCGTGAGAGTTCTGCCAAATGTCCTTGAGGCCTGTAAATCCCGCATTCTTTGTGTCCACTATCAGCGGTACATCCTTCTTCTCAAGCTTTGTTAACCTCCCCCTAGGTCTGAGGTCATTGAAACACGTTGAACCCTAAATCTTAAGAAGGTAATTTTAGTGACAATTTGTCCTTCTAATACCTGGAGATCCCTTAGAGCTGATTGGCTCTCTGTTGCACGGACCTCCCTTCACGTTGATTAGGCTTGAAAGTACAAACATCAAACGTTAAACAACACCCCGTCTCAAGAAAATTTTTACATATTTCACATTTGCCAACACCTCCCCCTCGCCATTCCCTCACGCGACTTTACCGCGCGCGGGCGCAGTCGCGAGGCGCTTCCACACCCCTCCCCACCCCCCGCCGTTTCCCGACAGGCCCCGCGGCGGGAGCGCCGGGCCGCAGCGTCGCGCCGCCCGCCGCCCTCGGGTTCCGTGCGGTCCCGCCGGGCGCTTCTCCCGCCATGCGCCACAGCCTCACGCAGCTGTTGGCGGCCTCGGCCGGCGGGGCCAGCCCCTCGGGCGCCGTCTGGCCGCTGGCCGGAGCGGGGCAGGCCCCGAGAGGGCGGGATGGCGGCGGGGAAGGGGACCCGGGCCCCGCGCGGCCCAAACCGCAGCCGCCGCCGCGGCGGGAGCCCCCGGGCGCCCCGGAACCTCGGCGACAGGAGAAGGAGGTCGAGGCACCCGGCGGCCCGCTGGAGGTGTGGGAGCAAGAGGACTGGTTCCCGGGACTGGAGCTGGGAGACCTGCTGGAGGCGGCCCGGCCGGACTGGGACCTGGACGCGGAGCTGAGCGGCTGTTTCTGTGGGGACCCGGAGCCGCTGCCCGCGCCGGGCCAGGGCCCGCGGCCGGCGGCGCCCGGGCGGAGGAGCGGCGGGGCCGGGAGTCGGCTGAAGGCGGCGGCGGCGGCGCGGTTGAACCGGCTGAAGAAGAAGCAGTACGTGCTGGGGCTGGAGAGCCGCCTGCAGGGCCTGGCTGCCGAGAATCGGCAGCTGCGGGACCGCAACCGCGGCCTGAGCCGCCGCCTGCGAGAGCTGGAGAGGGAGAGCAGCTACCTGCGGGCTGTGTTGGCGAACCAGAGCGCCCTGGGGCAGCTCCTGAGCCGCCTGGCCGGCACCCGGGCCGGCGGGCTGCAGCTCAGCACCAGCCTCTTCAGGGACACTGGCAGCCCCCGCCGCCAGCACCAGCATCTCCAGCCCGCCGGCGAGAGCAGCGACCACGACTACGCTCTGCCCAGCTCCCGGCCCCGCGGCCTGGAGGAGGCGGCGGCGGTGACTGAGACGGAGGAGGAGTGGGCGGCCCCCGGCGGGATCTGCCTGCACGTGGACCGGGATCAGGTGTCGGTGGAGTTCTGCTCCATCTGTGCTCGGCGGGCAGCGGCCTCCTTCAAAATGTAGGGTCAAGTACCTGCTGCAAGTACTCGTGGGGTTCTCACCCGTAAGGGCCTCGCGTCGCGGCGGAGGAAGCAGGCGATGGTGCGGAGGAAAAGAATCCATGCAGTGGTGATGGGGTGGTATTGGGGGAGATGCAAAGGAGGGGAGCCTGGCGCTTACTTAAGTGCCCAGGGTAACAAAAAAAATCTCTCGAACGGCACGTTGGGAGCCAGACGGTGGCCTTGGTTTAAGGTCCTGTAAATCTGGCGTGTGGACGGTAGTGGTGTGAGCCTGTTTGGCGATGGGAGTCGCGCAGAGCTGTGTGCAGCAGTGCGACAGTGGTCGTGCAGACTGACACGCGCGTGGTGCCGCCAGAGCCCGTTCGCAGCACTTGGGTGAAAAGATCATGCCGACTTGATGCATGAAGGTGTGCTCGGCTCCACTTCGCAGTAAAGATAATGCTGACTACGCGGTCTTGAGTCAGATAATGTCTAGCCTGCTTATCCTGAGGAGCCGAAAATGCTTGCTTAGAAAACCAAACAAAAACTCCATTATGACATCGTCACTGGACAGACTTAAGAAAATAGTAATGATCGGCAAAAGAAAGCATGCATATAAAATTGTACTGCATCTCAGTTATACATTACTATTAAAACCTCTCTGACAGTTTCTCTTTTAGGTGGTTGCCCTGCCAGGCTCCGTTGTGTAGGGGTTAAAGAACAGTCGTTTTCCACCTCGCAACCTGGTAAGGATCAATATATTCCCATAATGTGGTATCAGACAGCTTGCTTTGCTTATCCCAGTCTCTTGTAATGACTGGTTCAGAAAATTATGTCTCTGGTCCTTGGCCTACTCTGCCAAAATGTTTCTAGCTGTGGATGACAACTAATAGTAAAGGTTACAATCACATCATTCTCATTAGCTGTTTTCCTCTTTCCGTTTTAGAAACAAATACATTTGCTACAATAGTAGCCAATACAGGAGCTACATTTCGAATTTTAAAGAAATGCTCACACCATTTGAAATAGAAATTTCCTATTAAGCCGCGTATCTGATGAGCTGAAAAAGGAAAATATGCTGATGGGGGGATGTGACATTTATAGCCTTTTATTACAGGGGACTGTCTCAAAAGTCTAAGTAAATGCTTTTTGAGTGAAAAAAAGAAAAGGAATGTGTGACCTGTTGGTTTAAAATGCTGTCTAGTGTTAGGGATGCACGGTACTTTTCAAAAGCTCTTCTCTAGCTTGCTCTAATTCATGACGCAGAGTTTGACCTGATGAAACAACCTGAGCACTGGTTAAATCTCTACAGAGGAATCCTCACATAGAGGAGTCACTCTTGCATGGACCTCTAACGATAATTAGGTTTGAAGAATCAGTGCATCGAAGTAACTCATTACTTTACCTTCCCATAAATAAATCTCTGTGCCCATGCACACTGAAAATCCTATGTTACTTCAGAGTCGCTTTAAATTTTAAAAATACTGCATGTATATGCACGTGCTAAACTCTACTGTAGAATTCTTGATTTAGCCTCTTACAGTATCCAGAAATCTATGACCCAATATAATTAAGCACAGTTTGGAGATGAGCAAATATGTATCTTGAGGCTAATGATATGAAAATGCTCCATAATTGCTCCTGAGATAGGAGGAAAAATAGTTTGGCAAACAAATAGTGTGTGTTTTTTTGTACTAGTCAGTGTTTCTCCCTATCACAAAAGATGAGTGGGTTCTTTTTTCAGTTGTATTATAATGTTTAGGTTGTTTAAATGTATGTCAGTTGGGGGAAGAAGGATTGTGAAAATGATAATATGTAAAGTGAGGTTTCACAAAGAATGCTTTTCTAAAACAGCTTCATTTATTAATTTCTTTTAAAAAATGATGCTATTTAGTGTTTCTAAAGTCTTGTTTCTTAAAGCCTTAAATTATGTGTTTAAGGCTAAGTAGGTGAAAGCATTTGCTCCCAGTCACTTGCTTTATTGGTGCTAGACCCTGTCATGTTTTCATCAGTAGCAAAGGAGTTTGATTTTTCTTTGTGAAACATCACTGTGTGATAAAGTATATGTGTATTTAGCATCCTTGTTTTTCTTTATGCTAAAGTGGATTCAGCTGTGTTGGGGCAGAAGAGACGGGACCAGCTGCTGGCCACATTTCCTGCTTTATTTTAAAAGGTAGTATAAGAAATGAGAATAAAGAGGTAACAGGGCTTTTGCTGTCTTTGGTTAAAAAAAAAAAAAAAGTTGAATGCTGGGATTATTTACTGTCATTCAAGATGTTTTTTTCTTAAAAGGCAGTATTCTATCAAACAGGTTTTACTCCACTGTATGCAGAATTCCATCTGTTCAGGGGATATTGCCAGCATGAAAGAGACTTAGTGGGATATGTGTGACCTTACACTTCTGTGGTGGCATCAACAGGGCTGTACAAAATTTCAGTCTTTACTTGGGTAACTGCTGTAACTGATGGGTTATACCAGTGCACAGGAGTCAGAATTAACCACCAGGACCTGCACTGACTGGTATGCAAAATGGAAATAATTTAGATTCCACCTGCCTAGCTCAGACTTCATGAACGTGCTTTATTTTGCAGTTTATCGTGCTTGAGGAAGAGAGAAACACTAATGTAGCAAGCATGGGATGTTCCAGTGGCATTTTTACGGTTACTTCAGTGTAGGAGTGTTTTTTAAGTTAATTTAAATATGCATTCTTTCTTGTTGCATCACTGCTGAATGGCAGGGTCAGGGACAGTTCTTCTGGCCTCTGCTGTGAACCTGCACAATGCTCTGTCGTGACACAACCCGTGGCTGTGTCTGAGAGCAGCTGATTTTCTGACATGCAAAATGATGTATTGTGGTACAAGAACAAGGTCAAGTCCCAAGAAAGTCAGTGGCTGCAGGCATTTCTAGTGCCTACTGAATCATATTTAAACCAAATAGAAGGGAGGAAGTTATTTGAAACTCTAACCAACTGTACTATCTGTATGGTGTATTATTAATGTAGCTTTTTGAATTGAAAGCCTTGAAATGACGTAACTTAATACTTGAAAATATATTGTAAATGTTTCTTTGTAATCATGTGCCATTCAGATAAGAATACAATACCATAATAAAATCAGACTTGTTGATCTTTCAGTTTATGGGCTCAAATGTTTTTTCATCTTTTTCTTTTCATGGATGACTTGGTTAATTAAACAAAGTGGTAAAACAGAAAGGGGAAAATGCTGCTATCTCTGGGTCATCAACTGGAAAACAAGATAAAATGGGTCAGGGTATGCAGGCGAAATGTTCTTGCTCTTCTGTTTTTAAAGGTAATTTTGTGGTAAGGACAACACAAAGCTGTTATTCCTTGAACTGCAGATAGAGCTGTACTTCTGAGAATCAGCACTTCTTGTATTTCATAGTTGTTCCTAATTTTTTATTGATATGGATATGTTTTATCAATGTACCATGGAGGAGTAAAATACTTACATAGACCCTTCTGTGGTCTATTGGCATCTTCCTCCCTTCTGTTTTATTTTTAGGCTCTGAAATTTCATTCACACCATACATGCTGTTGAATCACAGTCTTTGATCAAATTGCTGTATTCCACACTAAACACTGGTGTGTTAAAAATAAAAGGTTTGACAGTGCTGAAAGGACAGAACATTTTCAGTGCTCTGGAGTGAGCCATGTACTGTATGTTCAGATATCTGCTCATCTTAAATGCTTTATTTTTGTAGAGGACAGTTTGAAATAGTTTGAAATAGACAGTGCACTGGCTTTCTAGCATTTCACTTTTTAGTGAAAGAGGTCTGCAGCATGATAAAAAGGAGCATTTCACAAAAAATACTGCATAAAAATGTAAAAGCATCCTGGCATGCTCAGCCTTTTTGGTAAATTGTATGTACCACAGAACCAAGTGCTGCCAGTGTTCAGCTGCACAGCTATGCTACCTGCATTTACCTGTGTTTTTTTCCCCAACAGAGTCACTTGAAGACTGTTTAGTGTTTAAATATGGAACAATTTCATGCTCAGTTCTCCTTTAGTCCTTTGGAGTTTGATTTTGGTGCTGACTCTTGGTAGTGTTCTAAATTACCTTCTGTTTCCTCTGAAGAGATCTGAAGCATTTGGGCATTAAAAACAAATTGGTTCTTCTGTAATCTGTTGCTGTCTGGAGAGATGATACCAAAGGAAATGCAGTGAACCATGTTCCAACACTTGGCATTTCTTGGTAGTTCCAAATAATCAGATTTCTTATGTCATTGGTCAAAACTGTTATCAGTTTTCCCTGCGAAACACAGGGATCTTTGGCAAAATACAAAGGGTTCTTGTACATTTACTGATTTTTAAAATGCTATGCGCTTTCTAGAGTTTGTAGTTAAGGAAGTTTTCTGCTGGAATCAGCACTATTCTGATGATAGGGCTATATTTACTATTAGTTACACTGTAAAATATCTGCAGGATATGTTTGGTATGGGAGCCATTCAAATGGACTCTGTTTAAAGAACACCCTCTGCAAAAATTGCTCGTTACCAGCTGCTGATTCTACGTTTTCCCACACAGTTTAAGTGGCATATGCAGATGTGGAGAAATAACTCTGCTTGTGCTCATTATCAGGAGGATGCCAAGGGCAGGACTTGCACGTGTACCGGGAGGATGAGGGTGTCATTTGCAGGAACTGTAGAATAGATTGTAATATTGAGACAGAATGGTGCATCTAGAAGATAAAAGTGGTGCTTTTTTAGAAATTCTGTTGGCTCTTATCTGTAGCTATTCTTGGCATTCTTTTGGCTGTAGTTCAGACTTGGAGTAGCCTGAAGTCCTGTCTCTGAGATATGTAGCCTGTTTCTACTACAGTGGTGGAAGGAAGGATCCAATAACACCTGTTCTCACTCCGTGTTTGTGGGGAGTTTATTACAGTTGTCAGAGGCTAAGGACTGGTTCTTGGGAATTGTAGGAGGTAGGTCATATCCTGAGTATGAAACAGGGAATGGAAGGAGCATTCCCAGATTCCTGAGTAGGCACTCCTCCACACACATGCTGCCAGAACTGGGATAGTACCATGCTGTCCTGTGGAATTCTGAAGCAACTTCAGACTTTACTGATTAACTTCTGAGAACACTTCTTCCCCTCAATAGTTTAAAGAGAAGTACAGAGGGTGTAATTGAAAAGTTTACTTGTTCACAAACACACCACCTTTCTAGTTTCAGGAGTGTTCAGCTGACCTTTGATGTGACTAGTGCTGAACATGTAAAGTACATGCTTGCAATTTGAGTGTTCAACTATTGGTCTTTGTAACTTACTGAAAATGTTGAGGAGTGTAACTTTTTTTTTTAATATACAATCTTCATCTTTCACGTTAAGAAATGAGTATCTAAAAAGATGTGGTTTGTCCAGGTCAGGCCACTAAACATCAGAACATGCATTTTGGTGACAGGATAATTATCACTTCAATTTATACCAAAATGAAAGTAGTACATGGAAGGGGAGATCTTTTTGAGTCTCACCCATTAATCTGTTTACAGTATTTTAACTATTTTAACGTTTGCAATAATCACTGAGCCAATCATTGTCATTCTTCAAGATACTATTGCACAATAACACCTTTATTTTATGTTTTTATTATCACAGGTAAGTGGTTCTGTTGGTTAAAGTCTGATGGCTTCCGGAGATATGACAGTTCACTGTCATGTAAAATACTTGCTCCATGAGAATCTCCAGTTGGGGTGATTAAGGTAAGGCCAAGCTGTCTGGGTGCAGGATGGAAACACCACATGACACAGCGACACTTTAAATCAATGAAAACTAAATTATCTCTAACAACAACAGGGAGTCTGTACTGCTGCTTCCCTGTACAAATCAGGCTGTTGCACCTGCTTATAGAGAAAGAATGTGTCATGGTCCTGCTGTAATGACCCATTTTTAAGGTAAATAAAGATGATGAAACAGCTTCAATATATTTTTTATCAGCATTACAGCATAAATTTTAACCCCTTTCAATTAAAGGTCTCAATGCTGAATTCTTACTTCTCATTAATAAATATTTCCACATGCATCTCAGGGGATGCTAGAATTTTACTGAAGTGACTGTTGACCAGTAACTGAAGTGTTTACAGTTACAGGATCACTTAGGTTTGGAGAAGATCCCCAGGATCATCAAGTCCAGCCTTTGAGTTATCACCACCTCCTCAACTACATCATAGCACCAAGTGCCACATCCAGTGGTTTCTTGAATACCTCCAGGGATGGTGACTCCTGCCACCTCCTGGGCAGTCCATTCCCATGCTTAACAAACCCTTCTGTAAAGAAATTTCTGATGTCCAACCTGAAACTCCCCTAGCACCATTTGAGGCCATTTCCTCTTGTCCTGGCACTTGTTGCCTGGGAGAAGAGGCCAACTCCCACCTTAGGGGGGTTAAGACCATACATCAGATTGAGAGAACTGTTCCCGATTTAGCTCTCAGACTGCAGAATACACTTCCTGCAGTAGGAGAGCTGCAATTTATATTGGTCTAGAACATACAGCCACCAATGTGACTGACTGATAAATGCAGTACTCTGCACCACTGATCTTAGACATAGCTGAAATATGTGAGTAAGGGCATTGGTCCTCAAAGGTCTCTTGACACAGCCCTATCCTTCAGGAAAAAATTTAATTTCAAGGCAAAAAGGTTACAAGGCCAAAGGCTGGTTTTTTTGATATGTTGGGAAGCCTGACATGACTATCATTCCTGATTGCTCTGTGATAAAAGTGTTCTCTACAGTGTGACCCATCTAACACTCTAAAAGGGATAATCTTGTGATGAGTTTTGTGCTAACAAAATGGAGAAAAGGGAGAAAAATACTCAGATTTTGAGGAATCCGTAGTAAAACCTTGCCTTGATTTTTTTTTCAATAAATATCTATGGTTTGCATTAAGAAGGAAAAACCCTCTTTTTTCAAGAATACTTATTTTTTACAGCTTCTAAAAGGTGTAGCATCACCTTAGCACCAAACATTAAGCAGGCACTATAAATGCTTTCTTGCCTCCCACTTTCAAGGCAACACACCTGTCTGTTATTCAGGTGTATACACTAAACTGGGCATAATGAAAAGTTTAACCTGCATTTAAGTTCAAAACTTAAAAAATGCCAGTGCAGAGACTTCATTTTTGTATTAAAAAGACACAGCGACACCTCTTTTTCTTGTTTATTATGGTTACTTATCCAAGGCAATTGAAAAGTTGCTTTACTTCATTCAGGTAGCTCTTCAGGATCCCTGCTAGTGTTCATCTGCAGCAGCATTTTGATATATATTCCGTGCTCTTTAGTGGCAAGATATAATCCAGTCACAGCCTGTACCAGTATAGCCAGACTCATCTTTCTAAAGACAGGCCGAGCAGTTGTGAGCCAGTAGCGTAACATATTTTCTTTCCCTGGCAAGGGAGTTGACATATACCTAAACAACAGAAACAGTGGAAGAAACTTTTTTTTCCATTCAAGTGTCAAGATTTAACATAAATATTTATGTAGATAGTAATTTTCTCTTCCTTCTCCTAAATTAAATTGACCTGGTGATACTGAGCTCTCTGGATAAATGCTTTGAAACATCCTGGCCACACCCTGGGTCTCACCAAGTCTCGCCCTGCCCTTGCTGTGCTCTGAACTACAAAGAATGACACCTGTCAGGACTTTGGCTGCTGGGCACTGCCCAGGGTCAGTGAGGTCTCTTAGCTGTCCAGCCACCTTCACTGAAGGCAGGATGGCAGCCACCACTGCACGCACCCAGGCACACCCTGGGACACTTGGAAGGTTCCTGCTAAACACAAGGGCTTCCCAATAGATCACTTTGCAGATCTTATTTCACTTTGGTGTAGCTCTTACAGACTTCCCTTTGTAATTAGATGGCCTTAATGTAAATATCCTTCCACATCCTAAATGTCTACAAGGAGACAAGTGTGCACAGATTAAATATCTACAGAATTTACACTAAGAACTGAACATTTAACCCATAAATACATTTCAATGAATACATTGCAAGTAAGACATACCTGGCTGCAAGGCTTGCGTTCAAGGGGATAGCCAGGAAAATGGGATAGAAACCACCCACAACAGCACCTACTAATCCTCCTCTGATCACAGCACAGACCTCACAGTTCAGCTGACCTGCATGGCAAACAATATTTCACTGCCAATATCCACACAGGCTCCACCACATCAATTTATAAGCTGCGTGCAAGAACCTGAAAATAGGCTCTTGACAGAAACTTCCAAGCTGTACAGGTATGCAAAAAATTATAAAGGAGGACTCTTCCTTAAAAAAAAAAAAACAACAAAAAATCCCAAACCAAAACAACAACAACAGTCCCCCCCCCCAAAAAAAGACAAAAACCAGAAACAATCACTCCCACTCCAAGCCAAGAAAAATTTATCATTTGAAAGTTGACATTCAAATGAAATTGTACAGATGGGGGCAAATTAAACTGCTTTGTTGTAGTCACTTTTACATGACTTTGAGTGAAAAATGCTGAAAATAAGTAATGTGTAAAATAATTTATTCAGAAATATATAAACTTTTTTATCTCCTTTTCCACTCCACTTTAAGAACTCACTGCTGTCCGATGCATTCTGTTTTTCAAACTCTGCTTTACAAACTGAAGGTTAAGACCACAATAGTTTAATAGCACTGTTCTGCAGGAAGAAAAAGCTCTTCTAGTGTTACATTGTGTACAGAAAGCAAAGCCCTTTAAAAAAAAATAATAAAGAGATTTTTACCTGAAAATAAAGGGTTATGCACAAAAACTTCATAAACTGCTGCTGTTGAAAGAAATGGAATAACAGCCATTGGCATAGCAGACACCAAGGAAGCCTTTCTGACATGTAGGATGCTCCTGAAGAAATTATTTGCTGCTAAGCCACATAAGCTTGAATTTGCTGCTAGGAAGTATTTTCCATGATTGCAAAGGTTCCTGTGAAAGAAGGAAAGTCGTTTCAGCAACTGAGAACTGTAAAATTAGTTTAGTCAACACTACAGTTCTCTTCTGAAAATCCTGCAACAAGGGGTAAAGAGATGTAAATCTCTCACTGGAGCAAAATGGAGTAACTACTTTCCAAAGCAGCCAGTGCAGCATCCTTTGTTTGCCTGAGTTTACACACACTTCAAGAGTGAAGTAGCAGGTTGAGAAGCCATTGCTACAATTTTTTTCCCGCCCATTATTATAGTGAATGGAAGCTTCATTAAAGCACTCCTAATAAGCAAGTTTCTAAGGACAATATTTTTGTAAAGAAATGAGGAAATATATATATATATATATATATATACAATAAAATTCTTAATTTAAAAAAGTCAAGTCAATCTACTTATAACTCTACATTTTAATGTTTCAGGTAATATTAAACACTAAAAAAATCATACGGAAAAGATTTCAGGGATGTACTCGCTGATCTTACAATGTCAGACATCAAGGACACCAACTATTTCTTATTTTGAAAATTCAGATTTTACCTTTACAATCACAGGCAGTGAAACACAGGCAAGCTTGTCAATAAATACAGAGGACTGAGATTAAAATTTTAGTGGGATATTTAAGTATCCAAACTAAAGCAAATTAATTTACCCAGGACCAGCAAAATCTACTTAGTAACGTACAGAACTGTTATACTGCACAAAAGAAAAGGAGGATGGAAGAGAAGGAATTTGTGTTTTTTTGTTTGTTTGAGCTCCCAAGTGTTAAAAACAAGTGCTTGGGTAAACAGGAACTCTCAGTTTGACTGCAGTGTGCTTGCTCTTCCTTTCCAGACATTAGTGACCTCCCCTCTGGATACAGGCTTTAAGTCCTGCCAGGGACTGGCAGCTACTCCTTTCCAAGGCCCAGCAATCCATAAGTCCTGAGTTTCTATCCAGACATTACCACATCACTACTGAGTATCTGCCTGCCCTGCTCTCCTGGGGAAAGAGGAATTTTGGAGGCTAAATGTGGGGGCAGCAGATCCTGCACAAAGTTGCAGCCTTTCTCACTTTTGTGGGGAGGCCCTGTGTTAATACCTGCAGTTTTCTTAGCCAGCAATTTAGTCCTATTAAAAAAATATAAATAAAATAAGCTTTTGATTACTCTTGTTTCTAAAAAATTTATCCAAGCTGATACACCCATGCAAATGGCTCCTAACAGAACCGGCTCAGGTTTTGCAGTGACCTGCAGTATCACAAACCAAAAGGTCATTCGTGAGGCCCAGAAGACATTTAGCTGGCTTTGTGCTGCACAGAACCCTGCTGGTGAGCCTGCAGGACTCCAGCTGACTCCTCCACCACCACCTGGATACCTTAGTCTCACCTTCCTGAAACCATGAGTGGTGCAGAATGAAATGCAGAAACCAGCAGGTTGATGAACACTCAGTTCTGGCCCCAGGCCAGCCCTGCTGGACACAAGATGACTCCAGCAGAATCACATTTCAGTTTCCTAGAAAATCTTAGCTCTAGCACAGGACTGTGAGCACACTCAGAGCCAGTCAGGGCTGATCAGCCATCCCAGAACCCTAAGCACTGGGGAGCACATGCCAGAAACCTGCTGAGCAGGACCAGAGCCAACACTGAAATAACCATATTGTAAAAACATTAAACAAGTTTTCTGTTCTGGACAATAGCAAGCATCTTCACAATTAACTAATTTTGTAACTGCAAGGAAAATTTGTAATATAAGAATAAGGAAAAATAAAAGCCTCCAGGACTTGAAATGTTTGATGTACTTATCTTCATTTATTTTACCAGCACTTACTGATCTGCTTTAGGAAGCTCACTGAACATCTTTTGTATGATTTCCATCCGCTTAAATCTTTCCAAAATTAATCTTTGCTGCGGAGAATCTAGTTCAAGAAACTCTCTTCCTGTCATCTTGAAGTCCTGGATCATAAGGAAAAAATAAACAAATGCAATCAAAGTTACATAGCTCCAGTATGAATCAAATAAACATTTAGACTCTGCCACTATGAATCACAAATGCATTTCCTATTTTGATTGGCAATGCTCCAGGTTTAAACTGACTTCACTGTCAATAGAACTGTAAGAAAAAACCCCAACCAAATAAATCCTTACTTTGTAGGCAAAAATCAGAAAGCATACAGTTGCAGTGGCTTGTGTGGCAAGGTTTTGGTAGCAGGCGGGATGCAAGGGTGGCTTCTGATATGCCAGGAGCTTCCCCCATGTCTGACATAGTCTGTTCCAGCCAGCTCCAAGACAGACCTGCTGCTGGCCAAATCTAAGCCAAACCACTCCAGTGGGGGGGAAGTTAAGAAAGGATAAAAACTGCTGCACAACAGTAGCTGGACAAGAGGAGTGAGAATATGTGAGAGGAACAGCCCTGCAGACCCCAAGGTCAGTGCAGAAGGAGGGGCAGGAGGTGCTCCAGGCACCAGAGCAGAGATTCCCCTGCAGCCCCTGGTGCAGCCCCTGGTGCAGCCCATGGTGAGACAGCTGTGCCCCTGCAGCTCATGGAGGTGCAGGGTGGAGCACAGATCCACCTGCAGCCTCTAGAGGATCCTGTGCTGGAGCAGGTGGATGCCCAAAGGAGGCTGTGACCCAGTGGGAAGCATGTGCTGGAGCAGGCTCCTGGCAGCATATGTGGCCACATGTGGGGAGGAGCCCAAGCTAGAGGGTGTTGCTGGCAGGACCTGTGGGGCGTCCCACACTAGGAAAGGACATGTGAGCCCGTGGGGGACCCACACAGCTACTGAAGGACTGACCCCTGTGGAAGGGACCACACACTGGAAAAGAGTGCAAGGAGGAAGAAGTGATAGAGACAACACATGATGAACTGACTACAACCTTCATTCCCTGTCTCCCTGCACCTCTAAGAGGGAGGACATAGAGAAAAACAGGAACGAAGGGAGCAGTGGAAGGAAGGTGTTTTAAGGATTGGCATTGTTTCTCATTACCCTATTCTGATTTGACTGACAAAATATTCAATTTCCCCAAAGCTTACTGTTTTGACTGTAATGGTAATTGGTGACTGAACTCCCAGTCCTTACCACAACCCCCAAGCTTTTATTTGTGCCTTCTCCATCTTGTTGAGGGGGGCAAAAAGTGATAAGAGCATTTTGGTGGCCACTTGAGGCCAACCCTTTAAAACAGCTCTTGATTACACTTAAGAGTTTAGTGATTCAAGTGCTTCTATTCCTACATGTTTTACTGCAGATGAAATTCTCCCAGACTTACTTTGCCAATCTTACTTACCTTAAGTTGCTTTTATAACGTGAAGGCTGTGTCCTAAGCCCTACCTATGGGTCTGAGCCTGCTGGTGTTCGGGCTTGTCAGGATGCAGGAACGGAGAAAGCAGAACAAGCGGGAAGGATCTCACCGGGATCGCTTCGGGCCGCCTGAGGAGGGTCCACAAACCTGTGCTTTGGGATACCACAGACAGCACGTCAGGGAGCTGTAATCACGCTTCTCTCCCTGAGCCCTGCACACACGACTTGTGCACACGACTTGTACACACGTCTCCCCTGAGACTTGCGCGCCGCTGGAGGTAGAGGGAGTCCTCCCAGAGCCCCGGGGCCCGGCTCAGGTCAGAAGCCTCACGCCAGGAAATTGCGGTTCGACCCCGACCTGCAAACCCCACCGCTACCAGTCACTGCCTCCGCACCCCGCTGACCCTTCCGGCTTCCCCGCCGGGCTCAGGCTCCGACCTTGAGCCGTACGAGCGGAGACAGCCCCGCCACCCTCACCGAGCCGCTCCCGCCGCCTACAACATGGCACCTCCCACCTCACGCCCTCCCCGCGGGCGACGCCATCTTGCCTGCTCACATGACCCACGGCCCTCAGAAGCCACCTGTGATTGGGCCGTTGGCCACCGGCCCAGCATGGCGGCCGCCGATTGGCTGCGGGCCGGCGGGCGGGGCCCGGCGCTGGTTGCCGGGGCGGCGGATGGCGGCGGCGGCTCTCCGATGGCGGCGGGGCTGAGCGCGGACCCTGCACCGGCGGCCGGGACGCGGGGACTCCCCCTTCGGTGCGGGGAGGCCCAGTCCTCGGGGTAACCCGCTGATCCCTTCCCCTCAGCCCGTGCCCCTTCCCCGCCTGCCCCCTCAGCCCCCGCAACGCCCGCTGCCCTCCCGCCCGCTGCCCTCTTCCCTCGCCACCGGCTCCTTTGTGCTCCCTCTCCGTCCCGCCCCTTTCGAGCGCCCCTCGCCCCGGCCGCGTCTCGCTTCGCCCCACCTCCAACCCCTCCCTCATCCCCTCAGCTCCTGCCTCTCGCTTGTCCCTTAGCAGCCCGGGGGGGAATTGTCCTCGTCCTTAAACCCAGCCTAGCTCCGCCAGTTCACCTGCACTCCATCCCAGTCCCTCAGCCAGCCAGCCAGCCCTCTGTGTCTTGTTTCGCCCCAGAAAGCCGCAGGCAGACCCCTTTGGGTTCGAGAGAACCGGGGGAGGGTGGAGTGGGGAGGGGATGAGTGGGGACAGGCGCTGAGTCCCTGCCCGCGGGATGCGGGGACGAAGAGATCCTGACTGTGAACACAGAGAGCAAAGCAGAGCCGCCCCCTTGACAAACAGTGCCCATCTCCCAGAGAAGACGATGCACAGCAAAGCCCTGTCATGTGCATCGCAGCTCCTCGTTCTCGCGGGGAAGGGAAGCGTTCGGAGCTTGTCCGCCTTTCTCAGACTTTTCCTTAACGAAGTAGATGAGGAAAATCTATCCCGTTTCTGTTTCTCTTTTTGTTTTTCCAGAAAAAGGGGGAGAGAGAGAGAGGCTGATACTGAAGCCAACCAGCTGCGCTTTTGAGTGGGAAACTCCGGACTGATCTTATGGCTTGCTTTTTATTTCATTAATACTTCATTATCTCTGAAAATGAACCTTTTGTGAAGCTCTTCTCCTAACTCTCCTTATTCCTCTTTCACGAGGTGGCTGCTGCTGTGCAAGGGAAGGAATGGCATGAAGTAAATGACTCCAGTATAAAGCAATCTGCTTTGCCCAAGTGCCCAGTGGGCAGCACTGTCACTTTAATAATTCCAGGTCAAGGGATTGCTTTCCTCGTTTTCAATCCTCTCTTTTAATACATGGGAGGATCAGAGGGACATTAAAGACCGTAAGGCTGGGTGGCTTGCAGATAATAAAAATGAAAGTGCCCAGTGACTTCTGTTGGGTAAGAGGGTGATATTTGAAGGCTGTTGTCTGGTGAGGAAAAAGGGATCTTTTCAGTCTGCTGTGTAGTCACCTAATACATAGCTAGCAAAATTAATTCAAGAAGTGAAAGAGCTTAAAGAGGCACTTTGGATTGTTTTTGTCTTCCTCCTTATTTGGATTACTTGGGCGTTTTTGTCCTGCAAATAATATGTTTTTGAGCATGTACAGGTGGAGTATTGAGACAGCTGCCTAGAGATGGACTGTGCCTTAATTGTATTGCATAAAATCTTTTAATTTTCAAACTTTTCTGCCAGAAGAGGAGTTATAATAAGGTTTTATATTGCCAAGGAACGTTTGCTCTTGTATTTTTATAGAGTCAAATATATTTTAAAGAAATTGAAAGCATCTCTTAAAGAAAGAATCAAAAAGCTTCTTTCCCCCCCCCTTTTTTTTTTCTTATTTGTGGAGAGCATCGGAAGTCCAATCCAAGGGAACAGCAAGTATTCATAGAAATGAAGATTGAAGCTGCATTTCCTTACTGAACTGTAAAAGTGTTCTGCAATAGATAGTCAGTTCCTGACTTTGCAGAGTGTTCCAGTAGTACTTCGTTAGTACCTGTAAATAAGTGCTTGCAACCAGATTCAGAAGTAGGAAGAAGAATGCCAGTCAAGAAGAAAGGTGGGCTATGAAGCTTCATATCTCATATTGTGTCTTCATTGTTAGATTGTTGATTTCTAGTACTTAACAATTTCAAATTAAAAATGCTTTAACAGGGAATGGAAATCGTTTTTCTTTTGCATTGAAAATGGGAGAAAAATCTGTGCACTTACAATAATAATTTTTAAAAGTAATTTTATGCTATCCTTTAAGATTTATGTCAAATTTGGCCTCAAATGTTTTTTTTTGTAAAGATCAGCCATCTGAGATATTGAACAACCAAGAGAAAAGTATAACATTTAATTTTGTGAGAAGCCTCTCTTACAAACACTAATAAATTTTAAAACCATAGTTTAATCTGTTATCTATTTGTGATATGTTTGGCAGATAAGCATCACCTGTCAGTAGCAACATAAATAAATAACAAAGTATCAAGGCTAATTTTAAAAACAAGTTATGAGAGCTGTGTTTTGAAGGTGATTTGAATGTTGTTTTTTTTTTCAAATATGATTTTAATTAGCTTGAATTTCCATGCTTTAGTACAATATAAAACTATGTCTTTAAGGCTGTAGTATGGCAGCATTTAAGAAAAGACAAACAGCCTTACATTTGGCCTCTTCTCATCTCAAGTTTGTGTTTGCAGCTTTGGAAAATGCGGCTTCCAGTGTTCAAACAACAGCTGGGAAGTATATGAAGGCAAATTCTTACTCTTAAACACTCGCAGACCATAGGTTATTTCTGGTTTCTTGCAAATAAGACACTGATTTAAAGTTTCGAAATATGCTAATAGAGTAAGGGTCATGTGAACCTTTTTTTATTTAGCTCTTCTATCCAGATGTGCCTGGATCTGATATATCCTTGGATCTGATGATACAAAATGTGAGGGAAAGGACAAAAAGTGAATGTTACAAACAGAAATGAGGATGTAATCAGTGTGACTTTGGATTCTCTTCCATATAGGAATAACCCTTCATTAGTTATAAGTTAACATTTACTATATAAATAATGATAAACCATGCAGATTGCTAGAATTATTTTAATGAAAAAAACAATAAATGAGATTTTGTGATTGTATTTTAGAAAATGACAGTGTAGAAATGAAATTTCAAACCTGAAATATTTTAATGAATGGCACTGTCATTCATGGAATTGCTTGCCATTATGTGTAGTAAAGGTGGAAATGTGTGTGGAGGAGTTCTGTTTTAATTCATCCTGCTGTGTTGTAAACGTGTCGCCCTGATGTACTGGTGAGGCTTCTCTATCCTACCTGTTTACAGAAGGAAAACTGAGGCTTTTCATAATTTAAGTTTTAATCCTGATTTAGGTGATTTACACTAAGGATGTTTCTGTGTCAGATGTTCAGCTGTAATTCAGTTTCTGAATACTTGCTGCAGGAATTTTGGGGTGAAATCTTATAGGCTCCTTAGTGCAGAAATGAGATGGGCAATCACAGTAGTCCCTTCTGGCCTTAAAAATCTGTGAATTTCCTGTTTGTCTCCAGGCAGTTTGGGTCAGTCTTAGTGCACAGCAAGGCTTGACTTCCCTTTTCGGTGTTACAAGGATGTGTGTTTTGGCAACATTAAGTATAAAGTCAAGAGACACAAATATCCCCTTGAAATGCTTGAAATTGTCTCATCAGTCAGTGTATTGAAGTTGCCAGTGTGAAAGTATTTGATTATTAAAAGGGTATTGTTAAGAGTGTATTTAAGCATGTAAATTGCAGGATTAAAAATGTTGGCGAATCAGTAACTTCATTGTGATTTTGAACGACTTAATTTGTCTAGTTCATGCAATAGACTTTAACTTTCTAAACGTAATTAAAGGCATGCTGGCAACTCAAAACATTCTACCATTTTTAAAAAGATGGCTGTTTTTTCAAGTAATCCCTGTTACTCCTATGAATGTTAGGGAGATTGAGGGGATTCTTCCATCCATGCTTTTTTTTTGTTTTGTTTTGTTTTTGTTTTTTTTTGTTTTTGTTTTTTTTTCCCATTTATTTGCTTTATGATTTTGACAGCAGTTTGTGGCTAACTAGTTTAGTACTTCTGATGATGACTTATTTTCACTTTCTGGGGAAAATCTGGGAGTTCATATCTACTCTCCTTCCCATCGAGGACATCTGTAGAAATCTCAGTGGGATACTCTCTTGTAGGCTGTGCAGAAGTATTTCAGTATCAGCACTGAGGACAGAATTATCCCTCTCCTTGTCAGCACTTCTTTCTGCATTGCTATTTTGGATTTGATTAAAATATTCTCCTAAAATCAGTATGGAGACAGGGAAACCTGTGAAACAAACTTTAAGACATACTGATATTTATCACTGGAAGTTGTTACCATGCCCTGTTTTCTCTGGCACTGGCTGGTCCTGGGTCTTTTTAAAGAACAACAAACATTTTGAGAATTTACCTTTGAAATAGCTCTCACATGTTATACCAGTCTTCAAATTTCACATAGCTTTGCACCTACTTTACACTTCACCTTGATGCTTGGTGTGATACCTGCCATCTTGCTTTTGAAAATCCAGGCCTGTATAGTTAAGAAAAAAATAGTTTGCTTAATAATAAAAATCATATAACTTATGGGAAGCTTTCATTTCTTATGGATGTGGAAAAAAAAAAATTGGTTCTGGTCCTATTTCAGTACCTGATTGCTCTTGCCTCTGATGTGCTAGAGTGAAAATATTTTGTTTTTCTCGCTTCAGTGTGGAGGGCAGTGAGGCTCGACATTCCAGGAATGTTCACAGAGTTGACATGGTTGCTTTATATGAATAAATATAAATAAATAAATAAAAATATAAATAAAATACCAGGAAAAATCAAGGCTGGAAAGGAACTGTGGAGTACCCTGTGGTGCTCCCTTTAGGTAGGGGGTGAGACATTGCACGGATTGTTGTACTATGCTGCACAATTAAACAAAGGGCTCTTTGGTTTTTGCTGATCTCTAATTTTGAAGTAAACTTAAAGTTTTAAATCAGACAAGACAGGCGTCTGACTGTCGTTACAAAATTATTTGCTGGACAGTGCCATTTATAGATGGAATGAGATGAACAATTTTGGGAAGTAAATAAATTCATTATTTTTGCTTAATTTTTACTTTACTTTCGCAAACTAGGATATTTCCAGATAGAACTATTCATGGAAATATGGGATTTCTTGAGGAAGGCTTTGCCTCAAAGTAAAATAGTACTACTGTACAGAAGAAGTGAAATTAGGTTTTTGCATGAGTTTAGATGCCTGCTCTCCCTCCCTCCCTTCCTGAGTTTCTTAGCTTGATTTCTGTTAACTGTAAGGGACTATATTTAGATCGGTAATTGCATATATTTTGGATTCATCAACAGAATAGTTAATAGCAAAAATGTTACTGTAATTCATTCACATCTTTCACAGTGATGGAAAGAACTAATTAAATCCATACTCTTCTGCGATGGAGACCAGATTCCAGTTTTGGAGCTCACTTGTGGTTCACACAGAGATGGCAGGAACCCCCACATCTGGGTGCCTGGCTGCACATGGGCTTCTAGACGAACTCTGTCATCCTCCTTGCACATCTAGCTGTGTCTAGGCAGTCAGAGATAATGAGTGTTGGGTTTTGTGCTGCCCTCATCCCACTTTGCATCTCTCAAAGGGAGAAGGACCTTTAGTCGGATGAAACCTTTGGGCTGCTCTTAATACCATCTTGACTGGCCCCACCTTATTGCCCGTTTATAAAGATGTGCTGATTCTGTCATAGAATAACTTTTTGCATCATTCCTTTTATATTAAAAAATGCCTTCCGGGACATGTTTTATTAAGCACATCAATGTCGAGAATCAAAACGTGTCTCTGATCCCATGTGGACAACTTCTGGGCCATTTAGAAGAATCTGACAGATGTGCTCTATGAAATGCTGGATTTTGTAGTGGTAATGCTGACTTTGTGGCTGATCTGTTGAAAGGAAGGGGTCTAAAAACAACTCAGCAGAAACTTTTAAAGGAAAGTTCATAAAGGACCAGACAAAGCTAGCTCCTATTCATGCCCTAATTCTCTTCCAAACTGGCAGCTTCTTTTTAGCTAACAAAATTTAAATTTAGGATCATAACATTTTGTGCTCAAAAATCTGGACTATGGTTTCAGTCTTTGTACATCTAACAGCAGCAAATCCAATATATATTGGAAAATTTCTTTCTCTTTTACTTGTAACAGGTAATTGTTATTACAAGATTTTTGTTCTTTCAGTTGCTGAATAAGAATTCTCAAGTACTTGGCTAAAAGGCTACCTCCTTCACTCCAAGTTGTTCAACTACCTCTCAGTTTGTACAGTTAATTGAATGGGAGCTGTTCAAATTTTAGTTGTGTTTACAGACTGTGGAAAGCACAATTTTAGATTTCCAAGAGTTAAACAAGTGTCAGTGTCACCGATGGACACAATATATTGAGGGTCCTTCAGATAATCTGACACACACAGCTGCTTCGTGAGGCAAAGAAAACCTTTATTTTGGAGTTTTCTCAACTCTTACAAAGCTTCTCTGACCAGGTTACCCTGATTGGTAGAAGGAACAACACCCCCTTTGGTCCCATTGGTGGCACCAGAGAAAGCACACCAAAAACATCTGTTCAGTATTGTTTTGAGAAATAGTATCTATTTACAATAACACAATTTTGGAGAGAAAACTGTTCCCAGGAACATTTCCCCTGGGAACAGATGAGCCCCTGACAGGCTGAAACTCTTTCAGCGTCAGAGAATCATGTCCAGAGTGTCAGAAAATTACTTTCTAAACCATGCCAATTTTCACCACAAAGCTTTGATTTAAAGATGTCACTGCTTTTATGGCAGTGACTTTTTTCCAGCCAGACATTGTTTCCGCTGTGAGAAACAGTGAATTATTTTGTCCACAAAAGGACTATAGGAGCAAGCATTATACAGAACAAGCCTTTGTTATATGCATGCACAATGCAAAGCTAAGTGGGGTCTATACTGGGAACAATGACATTTATACTCTTTTTCAGTCCTGTTGTTATTCTGGTAGTTCTCAGATGTTTAAT